GCCAGACACCTCCCACACACCTCCCACACACCTCCCACACACCTGCCACACACCTCCCACACACCTCCCACACACCTCAAAGACACGTCCCAGACCCCTCCCAGACACCTCCCACACACCTCCCACACACCTCCCACACACCTCCCACACACCTCCCACACACCTCCCAGACACCTCCCAGACACCTCCCAGACACCTCCCACACACCTCCCAGACACCTCCCACACACCTCCCAGACACCTCAAAGACACGTCCCAGACACCTCCCAGACACCTCCCAGACACGTCCCACCTCCCAGACACGTCCCAGACACGTCCGAGAGTGCGGCATCGCTCCCCGGCGGGACAGACTGCCGCATGGCCCCCCGCGTCGCCACCTCGCGCCACCTCGCACCTCGCCGCCTCGCCGCCTCCCGCCTGCCTCCCTCCACCGCCTCCCTGCCTCTCCCACCGCCTCTGTGGCGCCCTCCCCGCCTCGCCGGTCCACAGATGAAGAAGGCCAAGGAGGACCACGAGTCGGTCGTGCACGGCTGGAAGCTCAAGCTCAAGAAGCGGACCTCCAAGGAGGGCAAGGCAGACACCTTCGACATGCAGGCGCCCGGCACCGCCCGGCCCGTCACCGCCGAGATCCGCCGAGATCCGCCGAGATCCGCCGAGATCCGCCGAGATCTCCGACATGCGGGCGCGCGGAGAGACGCCCGGCGGGCGCCTCGAGCGTAACCCCCCAGGTTGACGTCGAGCGGGAGCCCGCCGAAGTACTCGTCCTCGACGTCGAAGGTGCGCTGCAGCACGGCGTCGTCTCCGACGAACCAGCGGTACTCGAAGTCGACGCTGAGCTTGGACGCCTGCCAGCCGCACACGGCTGCCCAAACCGCCATGCAGACGACAACTGCCACCTGGACCGGCTTGCGCGCGAGGGCCGGCGCGTAGTGGCGGCGCAGCACGGAGCGCAGGAGCCCCTCCTCGGGCGCCTTGACGGCGGCGCATGAGTTTGCGAAGCAACCGCAGCAGCCAGACTCGACCGAAGGGTCCAGAGGGCCGCAGCAGGGGCAGCAGTCGGGCTTGCCGGCGGCTTCGCGGTGTGCGTCGAGCGCCATCCAGCCGGCAAAGAAGGAGATTTGGAGCAGG